ACTCCACAGAATAATATTATAAAACTATAAATTAAAGTCTGGTAACTATTAGTATTTTATATTTTACTATTTTCTAATATTTGATTTAAGATCTGTTGAATTAAAGTTAAACATAATATAATAATTAGCGTAGTTTTATATTTTGAATGGAGCAACAATGTTGTTTGTTTTTTTTTTGAATCTTCAATGTTTGTGTCCAAATACATTTATTATTATGGTAGCATAAATGTTTCAAAAGTCGGGTAGTTTCTTGAAGCGAATTAGATCTAGTTAGTACTTTTAGGGTTAAAAGTAAAAGAATCTGTACTTTTATTGATAATCGGTAAAATGGGAATATTTGCACTACACTATGGTTTTGACAAAATCGAGTTTTTTGTAGGTAACTAATTCAAAAAATAATAGCCGTAGTGATAATTTATATTTTATATTAGTATTTTTGATTCCAAACATTTTTGTATTTACTATTYATAGAATTTTTTTTTYTAGTTTTTTTCTGTAAATATTGTTTAAAATGTTTTTGTTGATTTATGGTCAAAAGATTAAAACTGTGTACTTATAAGGTTTTCTTATTGAAATTAAAAACAAAGCAGAGCACAAAACCACAATTTGTTTTATGGGCGTTCAAAGTTCAATTATAACGAAATTGGATATTCACACGTAAAATAATSACTTCTMTCCAATGATKTTTGTTATTCTTTTATAATTAAAAAAATATTAACTGTAGAAACTTGAAACTATTATCTAATCCATTATTATTGAATTATTAGGTATAATAATTATAATTTCTGTATATAATGCAATTAATAAGTAAATTTTAGATTTATCATTTTTATTTATAATCATAATTGTAAGATGTTGAATCTGTCATATAATTTTTGATATATTTTAGTAAAGATATAAAAGTAATGGGTGAAAATCCAAAATTAATTTAGCTATATGACTTTAGTGGCTACAAATTATAAAAAATTTAATTAGTCACATAATTAATATTAATAAATCTA